TGAGTGTGAGACAATTGGGAGCTAAAAAGGAATTAGAGGTGGCAGAATTACAACCTTTTGAGGGTGAGAGAACACAAGATGTTTCATCAGAAAGAAGTGAAGCAGGCGAATATGAAAAGCTAAAAGAAAAATACAACATGACACTAAATACTGATGACACACAATTGTAAAAGCGAACTGTTGGTCCAGATCTGAAATTCCTGAAGGTAACTGCTTGCATTGGCCAACCATCTTGTGCTGTGTCCACATGGTCTGTATCTCTGCTGGAACATTTTTACAGTTGTTCTATGTATGGACTGTTTGCATCACCTTTCTGTCTGGATATTAAGAGAACGGGAATATAAAACACTTAAGAGTTTCTTGCCACTACTCATACAAAAGTGGTGGTAAAAGTCACCATGGGTGGATTTGCACAGGCAATCACCTCAAAACTGCTAGTTACAAGAAACTTCATCCACAGTTTTGGATTTTTGCTAACTGTTGATTCCTCACAAGAGTTCGAAGAATTTGGGAAAACATCTAAATGATGAGTTTAGTGATACTACTACATGAACACCAGCACTCCTTGGCAGATCCCTGTAATGTGGAAGGAGTACCGCAGGTAGCTTTAGAGGTATTTTCTGAGGAAGAATTAAGATAGCTGTCTGAAGGTGAGTCTCAGTTTTAATGAAGTATAGTCTAAAGTCTTCTGGAAAAGAAATACAATATGATAGTACATCTTGAGAGAGACTCTTATTCACAAGGGACAATGGGCAAGGAAAGGGCTTCTCAATAGCTTTTAGTTACATAAGTTAGCCAAATCTAAGCTATATTTCTCAATATTTCTGTGGGTTAGAAGACGAAATTTAGCCAAATTGGCAATTTTAGCAAATTGAAAGAAATCTCTGTAATCTAGACATAATGTCTGGTTTGTAAAAGAGGACACATTAGCATTTTTTACTTTGCTCAAGAAAAATAATCTTTTTCATCCGGGAGCAAACATACGAAGTTGTCTGAAGAATTTTTACACTGTAGTTCATCTCAAGATATTTATTCAGCTAGCTTTTTACTGAATGGAAATTTTGATTACTTTTATTAGTAACATTTGGGCTGGAAAAGCATGATATATTTTCAAAAATTGTATCATCCTTGGTTACTTCAAAGCAACAAAAATGAAATTTGCTGGGATAATACAAGTATATAGTGCACTTTTAAACACTTTATTCTAAATTAAGTTGCAGTATCTAAAAAGCCTGAATCTAAAATTATCTAAATGTATCAAAAATAGTAAACTAATAGCTTAGATTAAATAAATACTTTTTTTTTTTTTTTGTAACAGAGGTTAGATAAAATTATTTTCACGGTAGCAGTGTCAAATAGGCAACAACATCAGTTCCATTCAAGTTAGCAATGATGCTTTGAGTCCTGTTCTGGTATTAGAGAAAACGTCCTCTGACAATTTCAAGTACAGATCTAACAAGGTGCTTTCTGATGATAAATCTTTGGACATTCCCCCAATGGCTAATGATGAATACAGCTCACAGTTTCTTGTCTAGGTCTTTTTACTTATGTGTCTTAAGCCCTCCTAGTCCTTCGTCAGGCTTTTGGATTCAATTTCCTTTTGAGTTTCGATTTTAGATTAATCAATGGAAGAATCATAGTTATGATATTATTTTCTGTAAAAGGAAATGATTTTGCAGACTGTCCAACGTTTATTCATTCTTTTCATTAGCTTAAGTTCACCTTTCAGATTTTTGTATCCCTCAACGCCCTTTACCCAGCAATATCTCAATATTATTTATACTGGTTTATATTCCAAATCACTTTTTGTATGCAAAATTTTTGTTAGTTTTAGGTTTTTCAGATGCAAAAAAAAATATTTGAAGGCATTTTTTCCCCCTGAGCAATTTACTTCTACAAACATATTTTGAATGCAAAAGAATCTGAGAAGAATCTATTTTATAATACTTTTTATACATAAAATCTTCTATTAAATACTGGTTTTATTTTTCATGCTTCTTAATCTATTTTTATATTATCTAGAAGATAGCAGACCAGTTTAAACTCTGTACACCTAAAATATTTTATATCTTTTGAATACTTCTTAATATTTTTTAAATTTTTAATTATATGAAATTGTCTAGATTACTCTCTGCTCCTTCAGAAAGCTCTTCTCCAAACTGAATAAAAATACAATATTGCCATTAAAACATATTATTCTGTTCTTTGCCTAACATTATTCCTATTTCTTATTTGGGCTCTTTCATTCACACAAAATTACTGGAACAAAGCCTCCTCCCTTGGTAATAAAGATATATATCAGAGTCTTTCACTAAGAAAGAGGAACTAAAATCTAATGTCCAAGAACCGGACCTCTGAAATAAGGAGAGGTTATAAAGAGAAATTAAGTTGAATTTCTATTCCCATTCAACTGACAGAACTTTTTCACTTGAGCAAGACATGGGATGTAGTAAAGAACCCAATAAATGTTCAAGATTTAATTTAACCCTTTAAGCAAATTTCCTGTCATATTGCAAGAAGATATGGTTTCAAAGCTGGCACAAACATCTGGGAGTTCTTCAGTGAGCAAAACCAAAAAGAGTTTGTCTTCTTGCACACCAGCTGATGCAAAGTATCTGGAAACTGAGACCTGTAAGATGCATGCTCTAACAGTGTGTATATTTGCACCCGTCTGTTTAAAAGTGAGAAGATTTTACTCTACAGCTGGAATATTCTAGCCTCTCCCTTCTTTCTTGGTGCTTGGCATATGATGTGTCTGTTGTTATTACCGCTGCTTTCAACGTAAGATCATATCCAAAACAGGATCAAAGAACAGAGGAAGGGCAGATGTGACACACGTACTGTCTTGAATACAGCTCTTAAGTGAAAAACTAAGCCTTCTCTGAGAGGAAGTGAACAGATTAAGAAAAAGGGCTCTAAACATGCAAAGTCTGATGGAAGAACTACATCATCACAGGCAAAGAGTGAGAACAGAGGAAGAGCTTTTCCTCATCTTGAGGTATGAAGCACAGATTCAGTTCTAGAAACCTCACTGCTTTTATAATGCAACTCTGATATCAGCTGAAGGAGGTTATTCTGGGGAGAAATCCAGCTTTTGTAGAAAACAGCAAATGCAACCCAGCCATGAATCTTTTTCTGCAGTAACTGCTATGAGCAATGACTCTGCAACTCATGCTGTCTTATTGGGTTTTTTGGTTTTTTTTGTTGCTGTTGTTTGGTTGGGTTGTTGGGTCTTTTTTTTGGGGGGGGGAGGGGAAGCATTTCAAATGTAGTACATGGTAGGAAATTACGTATGATCTATTCATGCAGCTCTCAAAGATGAGGTAGAAGGACTTTGGACACCGTGGGGATCCACATGGAGGTATAAGATAGAGATATGAGGGGCCTGCTCCTTCAAAGACCATTAGTCATAAGCTGGGTAAAAAATAGAACATGCTTCCCAATCCAGGACATCCATCTATCATGAGTAAAGCTACACACACTATACATTACTGGAAAAGCTACTGCTACAGGTGAAGAGGAGACCCTGCAGGTTAGATTGACATGAGGTATGGCAAATACCTATTTTGCTGTATGCCCTAAGAGGGACAGTCTAGGTGAAAGTCAACAGTGTCACAAATGTGCCTGCCAAAATCAAATCTTAAGAGATAGAAGGGTCCAGTACTGTCCTCACGAATTGTGCAGGATAAGCAGGAATACAAGTTTCTGGACTTTGTTGAGATGATGGAAAGGTGAAAATGTCGTGCAAGACAATCAATGTTTCTCTACAAAGAGACGAAACAAGCACCTGGAACTGATAGTGACCTATGATATGAAAAACTGGATGAGAATTTTTGTTTTGTTTTTCTATTTTTTTTTTTTTTTAAGAATTAGAACTGTTGCCATTTCCTCTTGATCTCTTTTAAAGTCATATCTGACAACTCAGTGACTGAGGAGATTCTTCTAGCAAGAGAACTCCTATCTCTTGTCTCTCTCCTCCTGTCCTTCCATTCTCCTTCCTAAATCAGTTTAATAGTACTTAGTGCTATGGTAATTTCTTTTTGGTATGAGTATCTAGCCCTATGCTATTTCAGATCAGTTCAAGGGGTTTCTAGAACCACAAACATCACACACCAGTGCTAGTGCATTATAGCTATATAAACTACAGCCAACAAAGCATACAAGCAGTGGACTTCATGTGCATGGCTTTATGACATAATATACTTTCCTCTCACCAGCTCCTGTCTGTTCAGCAACTCTAAAGATTGATAGTGGCCTGAAATGGAATTGTAATTGGGAGTTTTGATCTGAATCAAGCAATTACCAGAAGTGCTAAACTAACCACTCTGTAGAACAAAGGTCTTGATTATCCAAGGATGCAGTAAAGGTAGAAGCTTTCTCATAGTGATTTATTTGTGTATCTCAGTCTATGCTCATGTAAGTTTAAAATAATAAATTTATTGACCATTACCAGTATCTTAAACTTTTTGAACAACTGAGAAGTTGTTTAATTGAAAAGTAAAGCAGAGGGCCACAAACACTGTTCTTCTGGAGAGAGTAATAACATCTGGCACACACTCTAAGGCCCTATTTTAAAGTTGACAGTCTTGACTGCAGTGATATTATAAACAATATTGTGCACACAAAAACTTTAGAAACTTTACAAATAATACTGAAATCTTACAGTACACCTGTGAGGAGGGTATTATTTTGCTGACTAAACAAGCAATATATAGAGAAGCTGAGGCATAAGAGAGTTAAGCAAGCCAATCAAGTTCATAAAGCAAGTCTGTTACAAAATAAAAAGAGAACTCAATCTCACAATTTGCAATCTGTATCTTTCCCTTAAAATCATTATTCTTCCCCTTCAGGTTGTTACTTAGGAGTGTAGCAGCTGTCTTGTTTAATTCTCTCGCCCCTGACACAGACTATATTTCTACATTAAATAGTGTGATCTTGTAGACAGGAAAGTTTTATTAATACATAGAATTGTGGAAAAGAATAAAACCAGAAGTGCTTACCCAAATCCAGAAAACAAGCGACAGAAGAGGAAGAAGCCATAGCCCTGGACAAATGATGAAAGGAAGGCAAAGAATCCATTGACAGACATGCATATCAGGAGTGACTGTCTCCTTCCCACCTTGTCTGCCAAGCCTCCCCAGAAGAATGCGCCCACCATCATCCCAAGGTACACTATGCTACCTGCAATACACACACAAAAAAATATGTTGTTTTGTGAGCTACATAACTGGCCACAATTGACCACATCCAAAATAGTTGATCTTCTATATTTACAAAACAAACAGTATAGAAATTAATTTGTCTTTTCCCAGTGAGTAAAAATTATATGTACAGCTTTGCAAATGTATCTAGGGAGAGGAGACTTCCTACTGTGTTTCTGTTGTTTGTTATCAGACAAACAGTGAAGCTTAATGTAATTATTAAACAAAGCATCTCTAGCTAAAACAATTAAAATATAGGCAAATAAGACTGAACGGGAGAAAGAATGCCACTATTTCTTCAGTAATAAACTGTATTTGTGTTAAATACAGCAAAAACTATAACTTCCCCTATAGAACCAAATTGTCTTAACATTTCTAGAATATAAGCAGTCCTTTTGGGCATTAATCACTGGGAGTAAGACATGGTAAGTCTAAAGGAAGCTGATTATGAAATAGACACTTTCCATTTGAGATCTATAGAATTAAAGATGTCCAGCTTCGTTGATTTTTTCTTCCTCTTACTTCAGTGTACAGCTTTAGTTAAAAAGGCACTGTATACAGAAAAGCACCGGAATGTTTTTGTTTTGGTTTGTTTTTTTTCCCCACAAAGAATTTTGAACAGATACATTACAATTCAACTGCATACATTAAAATGAGAAAAACTATTTCAGGCTGATTATTTTTAACGTTAATGATGTTTTCAACGTGAAGTACTTTCTCACAGAAAGATAAGTTGAAATATTTAACACTTTGACCATTCACACCTTAGCATATTGTATATTGTTTTCTTTCCAGGGACAAAACTTCTGTGGGACATTTGGCAAAGATGTACAACGCATTGAGCAGACTGTCAGAAGAAGAAGTAGTTCCCAAGTTTTAGACAAAACCAACGAGACTTGTATTTTATTTGATACACGTAATTCTTTTACCACTTGTTTTCTTATTGAACTTCCCACATTGGGTTTTACCTACCTAGCAGTACCATCTTGTGTGCCTGCTACAGAGCAGAAATTAAATATAAAGTAGGTGGAAGCATCTAAAATACTAGCAATCCTTGTCCTGTGTCTCTTTTCGATCAGCCACAAGAATAGACAAATTCCCCAGCAACTCTACTGGGCTTTAGTTGCTGTTGTGTAGAATTCAGGTCTCCAAAAGAATTGCCTCTGCCCTGCAGGAGGTAGTTGGAAGGGAAAGAAAGCTGAAAAAAATACTTCAATGGCTGGATTTCGTTAACTGCTTATTAACATAGAGGTCAGTCATCTGTATTTCCATGCTTGGAATTCCAGATGTTAGCATCTCAAGTGTTGCCATCTGCAGCATCTCATGCACCCGAACGGTTCTTGTTTCCCCTCGTGTTTTATACAAGTAGTTTACACTGCTTCTTCCTTACCAGACGTTTTAAATCATTTGATAGAACATACATTGTGTTAAACATATATTAGCAAGACAGAGAGTTGCATTTTGCTTAGGTGAGTATACTGTTTTTATCTATGCCTTTCACAGTTGATTGTGATCAATACCAGCAAATCAGTCTTTTCTGCAGCTGTCTTTTTAGCCAACATAAAATAAGAACAGATTATTTCTAGACTGACTGTCTTCTCCATGAGTCCCTTAGGACAGGATGAGAGATCCATTGCTGCTCATCACAGGAGCATTAACTATCTCAAGCAAGAGCAAGAAGTTCCTTAAGAACAACAGTTAAATGTCTTCTCAAAACAACTCTGTCAATAGACGTTTTCTAGGTCTTACTGGGATCTTAGTGTTTCATTAAAGGATCATCAAAAGATATTGATGAGAATGTAGGTAGATCCAGAACTTGCAGAATCACTAACATGTCTTTGTTCTCTTTCCTCCTAATCCAGGAAGGACACAGACACTACAATATCAGATAACTCCTTCATTCTGATCCACAATTTTTATTCCAATAATTGGGATTTTCCTGAGAATGCACACACAGCTCTTAACGCTTTCTGGTCCTAAAGAGACAAAGCTTGGCCAGTGGCTTCACAAATTTGCTCAACCACTTTAAGATCTCTCCTGTGGACAAGGTTACTGTACTACGCTACAGGTAGACCAGTACTTACAAGCAGTTTGGAAACTCCCTCCAGCAGAGCTGGTGCTTGCTCATCAATATTAGTTAAAAGAACATAGCAAAAATAGTTCAATAGCTGCATTGCCAGCAGATTGATTTCAAAAAGGCAAATAAAATGGTTGTTAATCTTAAAGTGAAATTCCTTACATTCTTTCATACATACACATTCTTGAGCTTTCCCAGTCAACAGTCTAATATCAGAAATACTCAGAGAAGGCCAATCAAATAGTTTTATATTTCTTTATATAGATAACTTTGAAATATTTTATGCGAATAATTTTATCAAGTAACTATTTTCCTTGTGATGCATAGAAATATCAAAACACTATGAACAATGAAAGAAAAAAGTTTGCAAGTCTTGAGATTATAAGAACATTAACCTTTCTCTTCGATGACAAATCTTTTGGTCATTGTACCATGCTTTAGCCTCTCTTATACCCATGTACTTCTCCTGAAAAGCATTCAAAACATGCTGCTAAAAATAATAGTCTCGTCCTATCAATAAACTACTATAAGTAAGCTGTTCTCTGAGCTGCACATTAGTTTATTCTTTCTCATCACATTAACTTTGAATTTTTTCCTAATTGCCTTGCAGACCCTCCACAATCCCTCTCCCTCACCAAAGATCTATATCCCTTCCATACTGAATCTACTGCAGCTACAAATGATACCTGTTTCAGTGTATTTTCCTGTCTATTCTTTTTCAGATTTTCTGTCTCTCTTTATACAGGGCCTGCAGCTCTACATTTATGGAATGGCAATTTTTTAAGGTATATATCTAAGTGGTTAAAGCAGTAAATCATCAATTTTTCAGCCATCTGAAAAAGTTGATGGATACTGTTTTCCAACAAACGTGAGCCAGACACCATATTAACTAAAATTAAAATTTTACATGAGTCTTAGTTCAAGATTTCTCAAGCCATGGATTTCCTTTATCTAAATGCTAGCTGATTCCCACAGCAATCATTTTGTGTCTTAACTTCAGATGTTAAATGATTGCTCTTACCCAATAATATGCAATATATGCAAATCCCAAAATGTCACAGCATATCAGGCTCTTTTTCTACTACTACTCTTCAGACTAATCCACTCCTCCCGCATTTCCCTTTCAGCCTGTAAACAGGCTTCAGTCTAATTTCATACTCTCTAGTGCAGATATTTAATTACACATTCATTTCAAAGCTTTTTGCTCTTCTGCTAAATATATATTTACAAACAGTCAAGTTTTGCTTACTGTTACATTATTAGAATTATTTTAGCCATCATAGTAATAGGGTTTATCTATTTATATACATGAAAGCTATTTTTAAATGAATGTTGAAACACTTCATTCTCAATATAAAAGTTTGTACAGCGTTTATCACACTGCAGTGATTCTTTGACTGTGACTTGAAACTGCGTAACCTGTATGCTTAGTTCTCTAATGGTAGTAATTCCAAAGTGACAAGTCTTCACATGACAGATCATTTAGCTTTTGCATATTTTTTTAGCTGCTTAGTGCACAAGATATTTTGGATATCCTTCACAGTCAGTAAAAAAGCACAACTTTGTCTCCATAATAACTAAAGAAAGATATACATCTATACTCATTGAGAGGAAGGAAGATACTGAATCCTAGTGAAATCAGTGAAAAAAAAAAAGACAATCTCCTCTTCTGAAACATGCTGAGCGATACAGAAACAACGTTTTCATGAAGGGAAGAAAACTAAAAAATACTGTTTCAATCCAAACCATGTTTTTAAAAATATTTATTAATTTCTAAAAGTGTTTCTCTAATATTTACTTACGAAAACAACTCAGGGAAATGTGCTGATGTAAAATACAAAAATACATAGCATACAATTCATAGCTTAAATCAATGAAATAAAAACAATACAATAAATAGTGCCTCTGCTCCATCAACAGAAAAAAGAAAACAAACACCTCCTTATACCACTTTCAAACATAACTACAAAACATCTGATGACATTCAATCTGATACCAATCTAGAAACTTCACATAAATAGAAATCAAGTGAACTGTATCTGGTTCTCAGACAAAATGATCCTCTTCTAATACAATACTGATGAACTGCAATAGAGGGAGTCAACCATGAAAGTCCGGAAAATGGAACTGAAAGCAAAGCTGAGAAAAAGCAATATCTACTCAGTTGACCAGTGTAGATGGAAAATGAAAGAGCAAGTAATTCAACAGTTCTACGTGCAAACCTATTTACTATCTTTAAGATAATAGAGGAAAAGCATCAGCAGAAACACAACCAACTCAAACAATACAGTTTGTAATAGTATGACAGGTATAATTTAGATGATTGATTTAATCGAAAGAAAACTGGCATGAGGTAGCTGTGTACTGTATTTCTAAAGAGAAGCCTCACAAATGCAAAACAGATACAGTCTAGAAAAAGTACAAAATATTAAATGGAAATGGGGAAAAAAAAAACTAATCCATTTTTTTTCCCATTTTTTTTCCCATTTTTTTTCCCTTTCAAAATGATCAAGTCCAAATTTTACAGAGAACTGAACTCAAAAGGGAAGTAGATGTAGAAGTCCACTATGGAACCTTCAAGATAGTTGCAGGTCAACTGAAAATAAGTGAAAGGGACTTATGGCATAGTCAGAAAGCAGAAAGCGCCTAATGCAAGACAAAATTTGACAATACTATATTTTAGGTCAATAAAATTTTAGACCAACTAATACCTACAATGTATTTGTCTTGATTTAACATTGAGACTGAAGTGAAAGTGGTCTCATAGCGTGGCTGCCCAAAGTCATCACCCAGCTGTGGTCTTACAAAGGTCGAAGATGAGCCAGGAAGACAATTGTTTTTCTTGGGAGCAAAGGAGAAATGAGAATAGTTCTCTCCTCTGCATGAAATAAAAGAAAACAACA